GGTGTGAGAGACAAGCAGAAACCAAAAGCTCAGCCCAACCCCATACTGGAAACATTCTACAGTACATGTTGCAAGAACCCTGAGCAGGTGGGTCCTTTCTTCCTTTGCTTTCCTCTAGATTTAGCCCTTGTGTGTTTAGTCAAATAAAATCACATTTGGAATGCTGAATTTCAGGAATGGTGCTTATATCAGAAAGCTCAAGAAAGCAGCAGGAAGCACTGGCCACCAGACACCAGCCAGCTGCAGTGGTCATTCTGAAATTACCTATCAACAGCTATCAGTTCTGCTTCTGAACATATAGGAGGAGCAGCTTTCTACAGGCAGCATTCCAAACATTTAAATCCCAAACTTCTATGGGCAAGAAAGTGTTAGGAAATTATGATAACTGTTGCCTCTTGTATTTACCTTATGCATGGCACAAACTGAAACACAGGAAACATCTGAACTGTCTGAACATCAGGAAACACTTTATTACTGTGAGGGTGACCAAGCACTGGAACAGGTAGCCGAGAGAAGTTGTGGAGTCTGTACCCTTGGGGATACTCAAAAGCCATCTGGACATGATCTTCGACAACAAGCTCTGTTTGAGCAAGGGGTTGGACCAGATGACCTTCAGAGATCCTTTCCAATCCCAGACATTCAGGGATTCTGTGATGGCTTCTTTTCATATATCAGCAAATCCCTGTCACATCAGCTGCCTTAACTCCCATGGTACTAGTCCATGCAGCTCAGCAGGTCTGGATTGCTTGATGCTCCTAGTTCTGGGGTGGGTAACTTTTTCCCATGAGTTTCTCATGAGAAATCCGTGAGTTTGAGTCATCACAGAGACTGTAAGGAGCACTAGAAAACTGCAGACACAAATGGTGGGTAGATTTCCAAAGATTAAAAGAGTGACCTTGAAGAACTGGGTAAAATAATCCAGAGTTATCATGACTGCTGCTGAGGGAAAAAGCACTGGCAGGATTTTGAATTGTCTGGCAGGTTTAAATTTGTCAGTGAAGTCCCTGGATGTGACCCCTGGGGGAGGGGAAGGATTTAGATTTTCTTTCAGCTCCTTTTTTGCAGGCTTCCTGGGCCTTGAAGCAACAGCTATGAACCCTTGCCAAGGATGAATGAGCAGGGGGCTGGTGTTCCACTCCCAGGGGATGTTCCTGGCACAGGCACCTTGCTGCCTTGACAGGGCTGGAGCAGCATGGTTTGTGGTGCAGTGAGGCATGTGGAGCTCCAGGACGTTTAGTACGAGGTTAAAAGTAAAAGAATAGAGGCTAAAAGAAAAATGAAGGCGTTCATCTGGGTTGCACAGCCAGCCTTTCTCTCTGGCAGTGGGAAGCAGTGTTCTTGGGAACACCTGCCAGAGAAGGTCCCTGCCCTTCCTCTTGTCTGTCCATCTGTGGAATATGCACATTTTTCAGTAAAACCGCTCCTGTCACAGAGATCTAACTCAAGCCCTAGCTTTGCAAGCAGGTTTTCCCCACAGCTTTGCCTGCAGCCACATGGCACCAAAGCTGGCACTTTTATCCCAGAGAACCTGATCCAGGAGTGTATCCTCACTACTAGCCTCCTGACAGCAGTGGAGCAAGAGCAGTGCAGTGGGCTGCTGCCTGCCCCTGCATCACCAGCTACACCTCAGCCAGTCTTCTAGCTTCCTCCCTCCACCATGAGCTCTCAAACACCAAGCTTTTACTTGTCCAATACAAGGTGATATTTTGGCTGTTCTCAGCAGCCTTCTTCTTGGGAAGACTTCCACATGATGGAGCAGCTGGGAAATACAAATTAATGTCTTCATTTGTCTCCACCACAAGAACAGAAGTCACTAAGTAAGAGTGGAAAGAGACACATATGAATCTTGGTAATGGACATACTTTTGTACAACATTCTTGGACTGTGTAGGTCACTCTCACATGACACCATTAAGGTAAATGCATTCCATGAAAAACTGTTGCTTTACTTAAAAAATATCCGTGGTGACACTTCCAGAAGGAATATAAAACATGACAAGCTCTTCAGAGCCTATGGACAAGAAGGAAGGTAATAGCAGGTTTTTTGTGGGTAATCTATAGAAAAAACTATAGAAAAATTATCCCTAATAGGTTTCCTAAGACAGGAAAATATCCAGTAGGAAAATGGTGTTGCTTGTGTGCCTGACACAGGTTACTGGCTGATACGGCCTTGGAATGCTGAAAGGTGTGAGGAAATTTAGTGCAGAACTTTACAAACTACTTAAACTGCAGTAAATCTTTCTTCTAGTGACAGATTTAAGGGATATGACACCAGAATTTGAAAGTTGAAACTGGACAAGTTCACATTAAAGTAATAGAATCATAGAACCATAGAATAGCTTGGGTTGGAAGGGACCTTAAAGATTATCAAGTTCCAACCCCCTGCCTGGGCAGGGACACCTCCCACCAGCCCAGGTTGCTCCAAGCCCCATCCAACCTGCCCTTCAACACCTCCAGGGATGGGGCAGCCACAGCTTCCTTGGGCAACGTGTTCCAGCATCTCACCACCCTCACAGGAAAGAACTTTTTCCAAGTTCTTTCCCCTCTCCCTGAATCTCCTGATTCTCCTGACTCTCCCCTCTTTAAGCTTCAAACCATTGCCACTTGTGCTCTCGCTACACATCTGTGTATTAAAAAGCCCTACCCCAGCTTTCTTGTAGGCCCCTTCAGATATTGGAAAGTTCCTATAAGGTCACCATGGAGCCTCCTCTTCTCTAGGCTGAACAACCCCAACTTCCTCAGCCTGTCAGCTTATGGGGGGAATAGAAAGATTTTCTGCTATCTGAGGTCTGCTATCTGCTTTCTGAAAGATGCCTTAGCCCAAACAGATTTGGGCTTGCCAGGAGCCTCCATCTGGGCTCTGTAGTCAGTAAACCCTTTCTGACCTTCAGACCTGGATCTGACCTGCTGCCCCACCTGTTTTCCAGGATGAGCTGATCAGTTTGGCCAAACAGTGCAACCAGCCAGTGAGGAAGACAGAGAGGTGGTTCCGGCACCGGAGGAACACAGACCGACCCAGCCTGTCCAAGAAGTTCTGTGAGGCCTGGTGAGTGGGAGCACAAGCCGTGAGCAGCAGGGGCCTTTCAGCAGAGCTGAGCTCCACACACAGCTCTGGGCCACTCTGCCCTCTTCAGAGAGCATCCCAGCTCCATGCCTTCCCCCTGCTCTCCAGTCTGGGTCTTCCCTGCCCCATCTGGTTCTTCTGCAACTCTCTGCTGCTTCTCTGTTATGGAACCTTTTTTTGCTTTTCCCCTTAATTTTCACTCCTAACTCTCCTTTTACTCCCATCTTGCCTTCATTCCTCATAGGGCTTCTGTTTCTGACTTTGTAAGACTGGCATTCTTTGAAACACAATTGTACCTGAAAAAACTCCCATCTTGTTGCATCTTGTTCTTCCTGCTGCTTTGCTGCGGTTTCAGTGCCTCCAAAATAGTCAGCCTTTCTGTTGCCTTTTCCATGACCTCCCTTTGCCTCACTGCAAGCTAATTCCTTCTGCTGCCTCTTTTCTGCAACTGTCCTGCATGCTGTTGCTGCCAGAACTCACAGGCAATGGGTGGATTGCATTCTGCTGTCAGTTGTCTTCAGAATCCTGAAAGTCAAAAACCAGCACCCTCCTGTCATGGCAGAAAAAAAGGGTCTATTTGAAAGTTTGTGTTTTCCAAAGAGCAAAACTCTTCTTAGAAATAGTTCTGTCAAAATCCTTCTTATTATGTGGAAGTACAAAATTAATCTCACATCAGCCAGTTGTGTGAATGTTACTCCTGGCCAGGCCTTCCTCAGACAAGGATGATTCTCCTGGGCTTGGTTGAAATGCCCGATTTGTGAGTCGCTGCTGTGGTTTTTGTGTAAGGAAGTAGGTTCTCCCAGGAAAGAAACAGAGATTAACAAAACTATTAAACTTGCTGTGCTGTTCATGTATTTAATAGTGTCTCTTCATAGGATAGGCATCAACATTTAGCTAATCATCCATCTAGTACTCAACTTCTAATTCAAAACCTCTACCTAAATCTCCCTAATTGAAAAAGAAAAAAAGAAAACAAAGGATGTGTATTACTTATTTATAATATTCCAGAAAGTTGCAGTTAGAAATATTTACAAAATCTGTGGTCAAGGAGTTGTAAAGCAACCATGCTTAGATGAAATCTGCATTCTCCCTGCACTAAGCTGACTTGTAGTAATTAATAAGCAGTAAATTATTTTCTGACTCAACCCACTTAGGATGGTGTCCTTCCACCCGTCCTCTATCACCATTTGCACTCTGCAGAAAGTGTTTTTCTGATGTAGTAGCTTTGAACAGTTCATGTTTGTCTTGGAGCTCCTGGGGGTTTCACTGGCATGTAGAATCTCTCTCTCAAAATAGAATTAATTCTGATTTGTTATGGAGATTTTTGGAAATTAGGGCACTGGTTTAAATGGTTTGACTCCTTTGCAGATTTTCTGTGTTTAGTATATTAACAACTTGTTTATTCTGTTGGGATGAAATTCTTCTCATTCCTTACTACATGTGTGTGTGTTCAGTGTGACCTGTGTCTGTCCACTCACTCTGGCAAGCAGTTCATGTGTAATTCAGGAGGCGGTTTGATGTGGGTAAATCATAACCAGCTCCTGGCTGAGAATGCACAGGACAGTACTTCACACAGTAATTAATTCAGCCTGCCTTTTCTCCTGAAGCCTAGGAGAGAGATTGGCACTGTTTGACTTTTACAAATGCATCTGCTAGAGCTGAGAAGGTTTGGTATGATTATCTGAGTTGTTCTGGTCACAGGACTCTTATTTTCTGCCATTTCTAAAGCAGAAGTGTTGCTTTTTATGAAGTCTGTTCAATGTGTTCATAACATGCAAAGTGCCACTCCTGTGATTTTCAGAGCAAACCTTGAACATATGAATAGATGTCCTTGCCTCAATAGTGTCATTCTTTCAATGAGTGTGATTAGTGCACAGAATTGCAGTTTTGTGTTTAGTTAATGGGATTCTAACATACTTTGTTTTGTTTGTTTGTAGCTGGAGGTTTACGTTTTACACCATTTCTTTCCTCACCGGCCTTGCTGAGCTGTACGATGTGAGTACACAAGCAGTGCCACCTGCTGTCCTACCCAGCCAGTGCCTGCGAGAATGGCAGGTTTAGTTGACAAACTTGTCCTTTCAGACCTTCTTGTAGAGGTTTTCCCACCGGATCAGTGTGTATCCTCTGCACAGCGTATTGGGCCATGTTTATTCTTAAAGCTCCAGCTCAAAACCAGGTTTTCTCTTCTTCTTGCAAAGCAGAAGTCAATTGTGATTATAAAACTACATTTCTGTGGGGTAGAAATGAAACACTTACCTGAGATGGAAGCTGCAGGGTCTGGTTTTTTTGTACCCAATACCCCATTAAGATAAAAAACTCAGGCTTCTTTTGGAGCATAAAAAGCAATTTAATAACGTTATTCATTAATTTTATTTTCTTTACCCAAGATTTGATTGGTTCTGGCTCATGGTTCTGCCTTTTCTCTGATTTCATAAATAATGATTTGATAAATAATCTCTTGATATAAATTGAACTGCCTCAACAGGCAGAAGATGTAATAGAGGCCATTCATAATCACTAAGCTGTGACGAGGGGCCTGAGTCATCCTCTGGCTGGGCTTGAAAGGTTCCCCTGGTGCCTTTGTTTAATCCAGATCCCTAGGTGAGCTCTGCAAAAGTCTGCACTGGCACCTTCTGTCCTGGTTTGGACCCAACACGACAACAAAGCACCCGCCCCATGGCAGCTCACTCAGCTCCCCCTCACACACCCTGGGATGGGGAGGACAAACCCAACTAGAAGCTGATGGGTCGAGACAAAGGACAAGGAGGGTTCTTCACCAGTTGAAGTCCCAGGCAAAACAGACTCAACTTGTGGAAAAATAATAATTTAATTTCACACTAATCAATGCCCACAGGACACAGACACCCCCAGAACAGGGCTCACACACCTCACCCCACCCCTCCCTTCTTCCCAGGCCCAAATCCCTTTGTTCCCGGCTTCTCTCCCTCCTTCCTCCCAGCGGCACAAGGGGATGTGGTTTGGAGTCAGTTCACAGGCTGGTGGTTCCTGCTGCTTCTTCCTCCTCAAGAAGAAGGATTCCTCACAGTCCTGCCCTGCTTCCCCAAGTCACAGGCTGTTTGGGAACAGGCACCTCCCCTGGCCTGGGGGCTTCACAGGCAGCAAATCCAAGTCCACTCGCCACAAAATCCAAGTCCACTGGCCACGTTAAACCCTCCTGGTGCCTCCAGGGAATGTTCCACCACATTCTTCTCACCATGGTTGTAGTGAAGCTCAGGCACCTACTTTCCCTTCCTCCTCACCAACCACCAGCACCCTCTGCCTCTCCAGCTCTGCTCTTCCAGCTGCTGGCTCTGCTCAGCTCTCATCTCAGTTCTTTCGTATGTTAATGGCAGAGGTGCATCTGTTGTCCCTCTAGTGGATTTTGGATGGTTTTGGAGCAGGGGGAGCTTCTCAGCTTTTTACAGAGCCACCCCTGGGGCCCCTCCCACACTACCAAAAAACCCCACCAAACCAGCACATTAAGTAATGGAAAATCTGCAGATCCCAAGACACCATGTGCAAACTATGGTTGTAACTGCTCTGTATTGTAACAAGTGAAGAACTTTGAACTTTTATTCTCACTTAGCAGCTGGCAGAAGATACTTTGGATTACAGGATGAACTGGCAGAGAAGTGAAGACATTTCAGTCCCAACTGTAGATTTGTGGATCCAAATACAAGGCTATTCATTGAGCCAGCTATGCAAGTTTGGTTTGGATGAGCCGCTTAGCATGGGGACAAGAGCCCTGTAGCAACAAGGGGCAAAATCCTGATCTGATGTTATCTGACCATTCTAGGAACGTGTCCCAGTTTAACACTGGGCTTGCAATTAAACAAATTCCAATAAAGCTCTCTATGCCCTCCCACCCAGGCAAGGGAAGGGATACAGATTAAAGATAAGGAGGGAGGCTTCCAGATTGAAAACTAAACTCGACAGCTTTAATGAAATAGTAGTGATAAAAGAAAATGCATACAAATATATACAAATATGTTCAGAAATGTGCAAAACCCCCATCACCTCCCCTCACCCCCAGCAACTCTCACAGCACTTTCCTGAGCCATGAGTAGTCCTGAAAAAGTTCACACAGGAGCTGAGAGCAGAGGGATGAGGGCCAGGACCACACAGGCCTAGGGACCAAAGGAGGTAGGCCTGTGGGATCCTTCTTGGACATCAGCTATGGACAAAAGAGAGCTTGACTTCTATGATCCCTCCATTTATAATGAGTATGACACATATGGAACAGAATACTCCCATTTGGCCAATTTTGGTCACCTGTCTAGTCTGCTCCTCCCTGCTGGAGGGTTGTAGATGTGACCCTTCCGCTCTTTTAGTGTCCAAAGCAGCAGCTTTGACAAGAAGAGCAAAGAGGCCTTGATGTCTCAGCAGTAACTATAAATATTGAATTATCAGCCTACTGGTTGGAAAACTTGCTGTTAATTTCAGCCAGTGTGCTGCTGAAAAGAGGTTCCACCAAAAGTAAAAATCAGTAGAAAGAAAATTGGCTTCATCCTGACCCAAATCAGGACAGAGTGAAAGATCATCTTGACTTTTCATGAAAGTCTTTATTCAGCACACATCTTCCAGTTTTCACACAAAAAACAGCTCTAGATCCTGTAGCAAACAGCATGTTATTCTGTTTCCTCACTTGTACTAAAATGAGTACATTAAAATAAGATCAAAGAATTAATGTGACAAGACTTATTTGCTTGTGACATTTCATTATTTTGCAATGCAGTTGGTTTTGTGACATGCCCTTCTTTCCATAGAAAAAAGCAAATGTTTAAATTCTTTATTAGTAGCTTTAGACTGGAGGCAAAAACCTCTGTCCTACAAGTCAGGGAAACAGCACATAGCAGTCATATCTCATAGCATATCTCACAGCAGGCCACCAGGAAACAGGCTTATTTACTGGAAGTAGAGGAATGATGAAATTCAGGGATCTGGGGTTCATTTCCTATTTAGGTAACACAGTGTGACACAGTTGTTTCAGAGTTTTTGCTTTGTCCTCCTCTCTGATTATCACACATCTTTCCTAGTCCTGTACCTGTGACTCTACACCCAGCCCCACTCCCAGCCAGGAGGAGCCTGTGTCTGCTCGTTACCACTGCTCATAAAACACTGCTTTGGCTTCCCTCCTGTATTGCTCAAGTACCAGCAGATGCTCAGTGAGAGAAATGTCTTCTTGTTCTTTGCTCTGATATCTGGAGCCTTGTAGAGCTGTGACAGAAAATTACCCTGACCGATGGGACATCACTCTACTCTGATCAGATCTGGGCACAGCAAAGGTTCAGATCATGCTCCAAGCAGGAATTCTTGAGGACTTTAGTTACCATGTTTCAATGGATGTTTCAAAGCTGCCAGGTCCTAAATTACCAATTTTCTATGAAGTGTAAACAAAGTATGGTCTTTTCAGAGATTCAGTTCTTAACAGACTGCAGCATGATCCTCACTGTTAGAGGGTCATGCAAGTTGTCAGCCTTCTTACCACATTTAAGGGTTGTTCTCCAAACCACAAAGATTCTTAATGAAATAGGTGTAAAAATATTTCAATATATTCAAAATTCACCACCAGCATCCCAAACAAGTTGGTAGAAATCTTCTGTGAGCTATTTTAGTTTGAACTGGGTGAAACAGCAGATGAAATTTCCCTGCAACAGCCACAAAATGGCAACATCACAAGCAACTTCAAGTTCTCCCGGTGTAAACCTCTTGGCAACTGAATTCCAGACATTGTGACCAGCTCTGCCTGTAGTAAAACACAAGAATGTCTGTAATAGTAACAAACTAAAGGAGTAAGTCAGTTGATAAGAGAAGTCCTCTGGTATTCTCACATTCATGTTGCATTTTATTTCCAGAAGCCTTGGCTGTGGGACCATAGAGAGTGCTGGACAGGATATCCACAGCAGGTGAGTCATGCAAGAGGGAAAACTGCTGTTATAAATCATGTGTTGTCATTCAGTATCTTTGGAAAATAAGTTTATATTAGTGACAAAAGAGAGGGCACTGAATTAAATGCAAGGGAATCTTCTCTGGCACCTGGAGCACCTCCTCTTCCTCCTTCTTCACGAACCTTGGTGTCTGCAGAGTTGTTTCTCTCACATATTCCCACTCCTCTCTCCCAGATGCTCTTACACAGCATATTTCTTAGATATGATCTCACAGAGGGGCTGCCACCATCACTGATGGGCCCACCTTTGGCCAGTGGTGAGTCCATCTTGGAGCTGGCTGGCACTGGCTTTGTTGGACATGGGGCAGCGTTTGGCATCTTCTCCCAGAAGTTACCCCTGCAGCCCCCCAACTGCCATAACCTTGCCATGGAAAGCCAATGCAGCAGGAAAGTATGACCTAGTGTCTATCACAGAAACATGGTGGGACTCATACAGCTGGAATGCCATGGGTGATGGCTGCCAGGTCTTCAGGAGGACAAGGAAGGAGGTGGGGTTTCTCTGTATATTAGGAATTGTGATGAATGTCTAGAAGTAGACTATAATGATGACAAGGTAGAGTGTGTTTGGATCAGGTTTAGGGGCAAGGCCAGCAGATATTGCTGTGGGAGTCTGTTATAGACCTCCCAAGCAGGGCAGTGAGGTGGATGAGCTGTTCTATAAATACCTGGGTGAAATCTTGTGGTCATTTGCCCTTGTTCTTGAGGGGACTTCAATTTCCCTGATGTCTGCTGGAACTACAACACAGCAGAGAGGGAACAGTCCCGGAGGTTCCTGGAATGCATCGAAGATAACTTCCTGACACAGCTGGTGAGTGAACCAACCAGGCAAGGTGCCCTGCTAGACCTGCTCTTTGTGATCAGGGGAGAGCTGGTAGATGTGACAGTTGGAGGCTGTCTTGGGCACAGCAACCATGCATTGTTAGAGTTCTCTATTCTTAGAGGTGCCAGGAAGGGAGACAGCAAAACTGCCACCCTAGACTTCCAAAGGGCAAAGTTTACCTTGTTCAACACCCTGATTGCCAGAATCCCTTGGGAATCTGCTTTGAAGGGTTTAGGCATCCAGGAAGGCTGGATGCTCTTCAAGGAGGAAGTCCTGAAGGCACAGGAGCAGGCTGTCCCCATGTGCTGTAGGGTGAGCCAGTGGCAGAGAAGACCAGGCTGGCTGAACAGGGAGCTTTGGCTGGTGTTCAGGGAGAAAAAGATAATCTATGGCCTTTGGAGGAAGGGGTAGGCCAGTCATGATGTCTGCAGAAATGCTGTGAGGCTCTGCAGGGAGGGAATGAGAAGGTCCAAGGACCAGCTAGTAATTAATCTTGTTTCCATGGTAAAGCACAACAGGAAAAGCTTCTATAAATGTATTAACAACAAAAGAAAGACCAGGGAGACCCTCCATCCCCTATTAGATGCAGGAGAAAACATGGTGATGAATGATGAGGAAAAGGCTGAGGTGCTTAATGACTTCTTTGCCTCAGTCTTTAGTAACAGGACCAGTTATGTTGAGGGAATCAAACTCCCTAAACTAGGGGACAGGGACCAGGAGCAGAGCAATCCCCTCACAATCCAGGGGGAGATGGTCAGTGACCTGCTGCACCACACAAACATGCACAGATCTATGGGGCTGGATGGGATGCACCCAAGAGTGGTGGAAGAGCTGGTGGGTGTGCTCACCAAGCCTTTTTCCATAATTTGTCAGCAGTCCTGGCTGACTGGGGAGGTACCAGCAGATTGGAAATCAGCCAGTGTTACCCCATATAAAAGAAGGGATGTAAGGATGATCTGGGAAATTACAGGCCTGTTAGTCTCACTTAGTCTAGCAGTGAAGCTGATGGAGCAGATCATCCTGAGCACCGTTATGCAGTGCATGCAGAACAACCAGGTGATCAGGCCCAGTCAGTATGGGTTCCTGAAGAGCAGGTCCTGTTTGACTCCCCTCATCTCCTTCTATGACAGGGTGACACACTTATAGGATGAGGGAAGGGCTGTGGATGTTGTCTACCTTAACTTCAGCAAGGCCTTTGACAAGGTTTCCCACAGCATTTTCCTGGAGAAGCTGGCTGCTCGTGGCTTGGATGTGCACACACTTTGCTGGATATAAAACTGGTTGGATGGCAGGTCATAGAATCACAGAATGGTGAAGGTTGGAAAGGACATTAAAGATCATCAGGTTCCAACCTCCCTACTATGAGCAGGGACACCTCCCACCAGACCAGGCTGCACAAGCCTCATCCAACCTGGTCTTGAACACCTCCAGGGAGGGGGCAGCCACAACCTCCCTGGGCAACCTGCTCCAGCACCTTACTACCCTCATGGTGAAGAATTTGTTCCTGTTATCTATCATCTCCCCTCTTTCAGTGTAAAACCACTACTCGGATATTTGGACAAATTTATTCACAGAAAGAGTGGTGAGGCCTTGGAACAGGCTGCCTAGGGAGATGGTAGAGGCACCATCCCTGGAGATGTTAAAAATCAAGGTAGATGTGGTGTTGCAGGAGATGGTTTAGTAGTTAGGGGTTATAGGGTAGATAGTTAGACTTGAGGATCTTGAAGGTCTTTCCCAACCTTGATGATTCTAAAACCAGAGCTACCCATTGGCAAAGAGCAAGAAAGGTCAAGGACAAGCCTGTGTATTAGCAGGAACAAAGAATGTGTTAAATGCAATTCCTACTAAACAGAATGTGCCCTGTGCTACAGACACTGACCCAAAAAATGCCATTTCTCCCAAATAATCTTATCTTTGGGGGAAAGAATCACTCTGATCCAGAGTTCCTGTTTGGATAACCTTCTGAGAGAGAACAGCACATACCAGCCTGGGAGATGTTAATGTCTCCCGTGGTAGCACCAGTGCATCCAGCTGTGCTTCCTCTTGTGGCCAATCCCTGGTGCTTCAATGAAGAGCAAACTAAAATCTATGCATGCCATAAATCAACACCTTTGGTAGAGAAAGCCCAAAAAATGGGTAATTAGGAGCACCAAACTCCATAATTATTTCGAAAGCCTTAATTGCAAAGCCTCTTCAGTCATAGTAAATTTTTTCTATCAAATAGGTTCAGGTTTGAGGATATATAGGGTTACAACAGTGAAAAATTATTTGATAAACAGCACCTATTGTGCTGAGTGGGTCTAAGCTTTTAGTTTTCCAGCTGTAAAACCTCTGAAAAATTACCCAGAGAATGTAGATTACCATTCACACTGAGCCTCTAATTTCCACTCATGAGTTTAATTAAACTGAAAAATCTGTGGTAGGGCACAGGGTGTCTTAAGCATGTCCTTGAATCATAGAATTATAGAATCAGCTGAGTTGGAAGGGACCCATCAGGATCACGAGTCCAACTCCTGTCCCTGTGTAGGGCACCCCAAGAATCACCCCATGTGCCTGAGAGCATCATCCAAAGGCTTCTTGAACTCAGGCAGCCTTGGTGCTGTGACCACTGCCCTGGGGAGCTGGTTCCAGTGCTCAACCACCTTCTGGATGAAAAACCACATGGTTTTATGTTCCACGTAATGTTCCACATGGTGCAGTAAAGTAGAATTTCCCCTACTATCAGCACAGATAACATTTCATAGAATCATAGAAGGGTTTGGGTTGGAAGGGACCTTAAAGATCATCTAGATCCCCCACAGGGGGGTGCAGGCAGGGACACCTCCCAGCAGCCCAGGCTGCTCCAAGCCCCATCCAACCTGCCCTTCAACACTGCCAGGGATGGGGCAGCCACAGCTTCCCTGGGCAACCTGGGCCAGGCTCTTACCACCCTCACACCCAACAATTTCCTCCTAGTATCTAATCTAAATCTCCCTCTTCAAGTTTTAAACCATTGCCCCTTGTCCTCTCACTACATGCCTGTGCAAAAAGTCCTGCCCCAGCTTTCTTGTAGGCCCTTCAGGTACTGGAAAGCCACTAGAAGGTCACCTGGGAGCCTCCTCTTCTCCAGGCTGAACAACCCCAACTCCCTCAGCCTGTATTCACAGGGGAGCTGCTCCAGCCTCTGATCAGTTTTCTCACCCTCATCTGGACTTTCTTCAGGAGCTCCATGTCCTTCTTATGTTGGGGGCTCCAGAACTGGACACAGTGATCCAGGTGGGGTCTCACAAGAGCAGAGTAGAGGGGGAGAATGACCTCCTCGACCTGCTGGCCAAACTTCTTTTGATGCAGCCCAGGACACCATTGGCTTTCTGGGATGCAAGTGCACCAGTTGGCTCATGTTGAGTAACTAAGTTGTTCAGTTGAAGTATTTCCCCCTGAAGCTGCAAGAACCATTTTTGTTCATTTGATTGTCTGATATTCTTTTGCCTAGGAAATAGTCTTCACTACCAGCCCTTGCTCTACTTTAGCTGATGGGTGTTACACTCTCTCTCACAGCCTCTCCAGCCCTCTGTGTTCTGGTACTACCTACTGGAACTCTCCTTCTACTGGTCACTGGTCTTCACCCTGCCTTTTGATGTGAAGAGGAAGGTGAGTGGCAGGCTCAAGGAAGAAGCAGGTACCAACAGGTCCCAAGCTGAACCCTCAGGAGAACCATCCCCAAGAGCACATGTATAGTGCCGAGGTGTGGGTGGCAGACCATTCTTTGCTTATTCCCAGGAGTTTCCATTCCTAGTTACTGGCTTCCCTCTCCTCTGCGAAGTAGAGAACACAAACTGTGTCACAGAGAGGTGAAAACTGCTGCAGACTTCTCAAGATGCATCATGTATTTTATTCTCTGCTGCCCCCTTTCCCTGCAGGACTTCAAGGAGCAGATAGTTCATCATGCAGCAACCATCTTCCTGATCAGTTTCTCATACTGTGCCAATTACATCCGCATTGGGACACTTGTGATGGTGATTCATGATGCTTCTGATTGCTTCCTAGAGGTGAGCTCTACAACCAACCTGCCAGGCAAAGCCTGCTTAGCAATGGTGCACTTAGCCAAAGGGTGTCTTTTGATCTAGCTGTGGGCCAAGCTTGATGGTGTTTCACAGATAACTCAGGACTGACCTCCTGGCGCAGCCTAGAATGCCCTGCAGAGAGCCAGGAGGAGTCATGATTACCTGCATGCAAATTGTGTTATACTTGGCTCATTAGTCTCCTGGAGCATGTGGAGATGCACTGTGTTGGCCTGCTGTTTTATTGTTCTTTCTCCTTCCAGCCAACTAAGATATTCAATTACATGAAGTGGAAAAAAACTTGTGACAGCCTCTTTTTGATCTTCTCAGCTGTTTTCCTCATCAGTCGCCTGGTCATTTTCCCCTACACGTGAGTCTGCTGCAGTCAAGGGAAATCAAAAGTTGCCTTCTGAGAGACAGGATTGTTCACCTGGGGGCTCAATCTTCTGCTGAAGCCTTTGCTTTTCACTCCTGGAGCCTAAAGTCCCTGTGCTCTGCATGGGCTGCAGTGCCATGTGGCTGTTGGACCTGCCTTGGGGTAAACTAGGGTAGTCTGCCTTGGAGTTCACAGAGTAGTCTTGAGGTGTACTGCAGAGGAGGAGTCCTTGAGCTGTGCCTCCACCCTGCTTGTTTCTGGTGGGGAACTGAGAGTTGGTTCACATGCATTTATATGTAAGAAGGAGACAAGTGACCTAAAACTTCCTCTGTGGCTAAAGCTCCCTGGGGCTGAATTACGGCCCTACTAACAATTGCTTTCCCTCCACTGCAATTTCCTCTGTCTTGCAGAGTGCTCTACAACACCTACTATTATTCCATGGAGATCTTCCAACCCTTCTATGGATACTACTTTGTGAATACACTCCTGACAATTCTGCAGCTGCTCCATGTCTTCTGGTCCTGCCTAATCATTCGCATGGTCTACAAGTTCATCCTCCAGGGCACAGTATGGATTTATTTGTTATTTATTTATTTATTATCCTGTACATCACCTGGGGAGGGAGGGCCCACCTACACTACTTGGCAGCAAAAGGGGTTCATCTGGGATGGGTTCCTTCTTGCCCTAGTGAAATTATACAGGTACATTCCTAACAGGTGAAAGGAGCACCCATATACAATCAGGTAACATTGACAGAGAAAAAAGAAAAAATTGTAGGAGTCACTACAGTATTGGATCAATTTCTGATGCTTGGATTCAAGAAAAAAGTGGACTGGGTTTCAGGGGAGATTTCTGTGAACAAAGCCAGTGACATCTGAGTAAGCATCCCAACACATCCCATCATCCAGTATGATTTGCATTTGTAAGGAAAGTTGTCATGATTGGTGAGGCCAGTGCAGAAGTGCTTCCCTTATAGCACAGGACTTTGTAGTTCCTGAGCTGCCAATTCCAGAATGATCCAGCCCAGGTTGTTTACAGAAGATACTCCTACCAGTATTGTACTTGAAGGCAGTTTGAATTCACTGCAAGTTTACGTTCTTGAAACTGTGTTTGGGTGTTGTAATCTCTAGAAAGACCATTAGACCAGATAGACTCCTTAATGTGATCCAAGAGATCTCTTCAGAAGAACAGACAGGGTGAATGGAGACTCTAAGTGTCTGTGCAGGAGCTCACATGCCCCTGAGGAGTTTCCAAAGCTGGTGTTGCAGAAGGGGTTTGTTGCTTTCCCTCAGAACCCTCTTTCCAACAAGGAGTTTGACACTGCGAATTCGTCCCTAATTTTGACATCTTGTATTGTAGAGCAGAAACAGCCTGGCAAGGCAGCAGGTGCCAAGCTGCTTTTTCTGTACTGTCATTTTATCACATTGTTTCTTTTTTGTCTTCCTTTTAAGGTAATTAATTAAATATTTACAAAGGTGGATAGCAGATCTCTCAGCCTATAGCAGGAGGAAAAACTGGAATATAAATCTAAATGTAAAGAGAGTCAAATAGCTTTGTGCCAAGTTCTTGGTTTGCTTCAAAACGTGTGCTTTGAAACTGTCCTGATCCTGTAGCCAAGCAAGGGAGGTGTGGCCAGAATCTATCTCCTCATCACCTTGGAAAATGTAAAAAAGTTAGATTAATTGCCTCCCCCCATCCTTCTTCCACATGCTGATTCTCAAAGGAGAAATATGAATTTCCTCAGTCTTACATAGAATCATAGAATCATAGGGATGGTTTGGGTTGGAAGGGACCTTAACAATCCCCTAGTTCCACCCCCCTGAAAGGGCAGGGACACAACCTGCTAGATGAGGTGACTCAGTTGTCCTCAGCCCTGGGGTTCTGTGGTTTGGTGCTGCTTCTCAGCCTTTCTAGAAATTCCTAATAGTTAGGAGGGTCGCAGCTAGGATTCCACTGAGGCTGAAATCAAAGAGACAGAGAGAATCTGTTTCCAAAGGTCATGTAAAAGCTGAAGTGCAGGGTAGAACTGTGTGTTGAGGGCAAGTGGCTGAAGTAGCCAATGAATGTTTATCCTGGGGCACTGCTTCTCCTGCAGACTCCTCTGTATTGCTTCTCATTTTTCTGTAGATAGAGAAGGACATGAGAAGTGACACAGAAGAAAGTGACAAGGATGAAGAAGGAGAAAAGATGAGGGAAAAGCAGACAAACGGGATCACGTCTTTCAGCAACGTCACAAGCAACAACTGTATCCAGAGGAATGAGGCTGAGCCACGGAGCAGCAGAACCCACCTCATTAATGGCCACGTCAAGGAAAGATAGCTCCTGCTCCTGTGCTTCTGGTCTGCCCTGCAAGGAACCCAGTCCTCTGTCCATAGAAACAGTTTTGCTGATGATGTAGATAAAATGGAGTGCAATTGCAGTATTGCAGCTGAATTCCTGCTCCCCATAAACAGAAGTGTTTGTAGTCAGTGATATTTGAAGGACGTTTTTTCAATAAAAGCTTTCTGTAGGTTGTAGCCCTGAAGCAGATAGAAAGGGATCACATGTTTTGACTTGTGTTAAACTGTACCATAGTTGTTGTTAGATGTTTTAATCTTGAAAAATACTTTTTTAAAAAGGTGGATAAACTGGCAACGTCAAGTCTTAACCACCTACTGTTGTTTGGTAGCAATTTGTTTAGTCTTGATTAGCCTCTAAAGGCCCTGACCTGTGGCCACTAATATTATAGCTAACAAGTGTGAGATTCTAAATTTTAAAGGAGTCACCTATTTTGAGAAGACAGGTGCTCCATACACACTCAGAAAGTTAAAACTGAGCATAGTGGAACGGAAGCTTCAGAAAGACATAGGAGAAAATGTTTCCTTCTCAAAGGAAATTCTGCTGGGTGCCATATGACCAGTTTTGTAATGATGTGGATCTCAGTGCCTTCTCATGTCAGCATTATTGCCACAAAAGTGGGAACTCTAAAGCCCAGATTGGAGTGAGTACCCACTCAAATCATAGCTGAAAGAGCCAGGAAGTCCTGGCAGCTGTGTCTAAACTGTCAAGTAGTCCTTTAAACCTGTCTTGGAAACAGCCAGAAAAAGGGAGGTGACAAGACACTAGATAATCTAGGAGACAACACTAATTAAGTGCTCATGTTTTCACCTGGTGTGATTGGCACAGTGGGAAATGTTTACAGAGGCAAGTTGTCACAAGAAGGGAATGCATTTCCCCTGTCTTCAGAGGAAAAAGGATGGAGAGAACATCTAAGAACGATGCTTTAACATGGCCTTCTAACTCCAGGGCCTTTGCCTAGAGGCTAGCAAGTTTAAAGCAGTGGTCCATGAAGTCATGATGCAGTTCTCATTCAGTTGTTTTGTATCTTATATCCTGTGTAGTCTTAGACTTTGGATTCTCTAATTCCTTGAAAGAGATAAACTAGTATGACATGAGTTTCTGGTTTATAGATCAATTAATCTATTAAAGTATTAAGAGATTTACTGTAATAAGTGTAGGGACTTAGGCTGCCATGCCCATACAGACACTTTCCTGTATGTACCCAGTAAAGCCCAGTCCTAACTGGGGGGAGAGTCCTTAAAGGGTTAAGCTAGTAGAAGAGGCCAGCTGCACCCTATAAATCTGTCACTTAAACTTGTTAATTAGCTGTGAAATTCTTCTTCCAAACCTATCTGTAGTTTTTAGGAATAGGCTACCAGAGGCCTTGAAGAAGCTTCTCAACCTAGATAAGGAGTGTCTTCTGTCTCTGCAACTAATTTCATTGCTGATAAAAGGAGCAGGAGATTAAAAGACTCCCTGAAAAGTGATGGACTTCCCATAATAATTGTTGGACACGTTTAAATTTAATTGACCAATGAATAAGTAAAGTGCTTATGTAATCTTCGCGTGGACACCACATGAACAAGAAATTGATTGGTTAGCTAAGCATGTGCAAGATAGTAGAAAAACAAGCCCGAAATTAAATAATTAAATAAATTAGGTGGTGTAATAACAATAGGTTAATTACCATTGCTGCTTTTAATTATGATAATGCTGCTATTACTACTGTTGCTGTAGTTGTTGCTTGGGTTACTAGATTTGCTTATTATACATGTTGGAGGATTTTCACCTGGTATTCAGGAGAGAATGTTCATCTGTACCAACTTTTGCCTAGAATAAACTTCTCCTGATTGAACCAGAACAGAGGTTTGTGCCTAATTTGCTACAGGACCTGGACCAAGGAAATGCTTGATTTGAGGAGGTGATGCACGTTTAAATTTAAAAATCAAGTGACATCATAGAAGGACAAGAGGGTTTTTGAGGATTCCACTCAGTTCACCTCAGATGTGCCTGAGAGCCCTTTGGTCTGAGCTTGTATGTGCTCATCTTGAGTTTCAGTCAAAACCCATTGGATAATTTCAGAGAGGACAAAAGTGGTTCCAGCACAGGTGGTTCCAGGGCACCAACACACTCTAGAAGGGGAACATCTGCTCCTGAATTATCACTTAAATTTGTGTTTGCTAAAGATAATTTGTCTCTGAACCCTTGAGCTATTTTGAAGTGCAAAGTACATCATATATACTGTCATGTTTCTTTAGTCTGAGGCTACAAACTTGATACTCCCCTGCAGGGGACGTGTTCAGGAGGGATGGTTATATATACTTTTACACCACTGAATGTAAATGTTCTTTATAAATTGCTTTTGAAATGTTTTACTGTCTGGCTCTTTTCCACTTACTTAACCAGCAGGAGGTAACCTGGCTAGTTGCACCTGATAGGGGTGATGTGTGCTGAGGAAGACACATGTGGTGCCAGTACACATGCAGCATGCAGGGAGGGGGTGTTGGGTACCTAGGACACGCAGCCATGCCAGGCCATGCCAGCAGGGAGCTACAGCTGCCTTATTTGTCTCCTACGAGGTGAAACTGCAGTTGGTTGTGAAACAAGGGACACTTTAAGGCACCCCTACACTAGACAAGGGGTGACCCAGGTGACTTGGTACTGCCAAGGCAGTGGCAAGTCCACGACTGCAGCACTGGGGAGATGCTTTGGACTTGCAAGGGTGGGATGAGATAAATTAATGTCTGTTCTTTTTAATGAGTTTTTAGGTTAGGAAAGGTCTGTGTTATAAAATCACAGCACCTCTCACCTGAGGAGCAGGATGCTTCCCAGAGACTGCACAGCCAGCACAGACATTTGTTGCTGCCTGCTGAATTTCCTAACACTTTTAATGAGATAGTTTCGGGTTGGATGACTTTTCACCTTGCAATACATGAGTAGAGGGAGGTTCTCCTCTCCCTCTATTCCACCCTCTTAAGACCACATCTGCAGTGTTGTGTTCAGTTCCAGGCTCCCCATTTCAAGAGGGACAGGGATATACTGGAAAGAGTCCAATGGAGGCTACAAGGATGATTTACATAAATCCAGAGTAGCCTCCCCCCCCAACTCTGTGGTGCTGTCCAGCCTCAAATAAAGGTAGTTTTATCCATAATGACATAACCTGAAAAATATGCTTCTTTCAGGCTAAAATGATGCTGGCACTGGGCATGGCAGTGGTTGCCTGGTTTGGCTTTTTTTGCTCTGTCCTACACCTTGACACACATTTTACTCCTACAATATTTTCTAACACTGATGCAATGAGTCTCCTTCCTCACCCAGCTGGTCAAAGAACAAAGAGTTAACACAGAGGTTAAAGGTCAGAGCAGCCCTTTATTTAGCATCAGCCTTGAGGAGTTCATGTACCAGAATGACACTGACCAGTTTCAAATCATGATGTGCAACTCTGGTGTAGACACAAAGGTTTCACTGGCTTTTGCTTCAAGTTAATTTGCCAGGTAGAAAATAAAAAGATGGCATTACAAAGGAACAGACATCGTTTCAATATTAAAAAATTTCACCAACCAAATTTTATGCAATCTGACTCACATTGGCTGTAAAGCATATGGCTTTCTTCTTGGTGATGCTGGATCTGGCATCACTCAGGCCCACATATCGAATCTCCGCACGGAGACACACCCATGAATAGGAAGGGGGCAAGGGAGTTTGTTGTCTATGACCTGGCAGATGTTAACATAGGGATCAAAGAGGACAACCACTGGGAGGGCACTGTTCCCCTTCCTCTGTCCAAGGAGGTAAATTCGTCCATTCACAGTGCTACATCCCATGAAGAACTTCTGGGTCAAACATTCCTCATCCACCTGAGTCCATTCATCTGTCTCCACATCAAATCGAAAGGCTCCTCCTCCAATTGTGTAGAGAGCACCATTCAGGGATGTGATGCAGAGGTCATACCTGGCAGGGAAGAAACCCTTGATCAGAATGCGTAGAAAGATCTGTCCCCTGAAATATTCAGTATGACCTTGGTCCTTATATCAATAGTCAAATTTAAACAGAAGAATCAACAAAGTTCTGATTTCTCCAGTCCAACCTCTTTTTAGGGCAGGACCAACACTAGAACCTTTCTTCTCCTGCCAGCTCCCAGAAGATTTCTTACCTTGGAAGTGGGGAGAATGAGATGACATCCCAGCTGTCTGTCTCTGTGTTCAGCCTTTGCACTCCATCATACACATGCCCGTGTTCATCCAGGCCACAGACCACATAGATCCTGGTTCCCACACTGACGGCATCTCCTCTCTCCACAGGTTGGGCCATAGGACTCATGCTTTCCCACTCCGACTCCACCAAAGCCATGCGCTCCACTGCTGGGATTATCCCTTCATCTGTGCTCCCTCCAAGTACATAGAGGTAGAGCCCTGCTCCTACTGCGCAGTGGCTATTGCGGGACTTCTTCATGGCAGGTCCTTCCAGCCACCTATTGTCTAAGCAGCTGTAGATAAGCACCCAATCCACACTATACCACACAAATTCATCTCGAAAATATCCTCCTGTCACAAAAAGGAAGCTACCTGGAAAGACAGCAGAGAAAAGCATCAGTTACATAAAGGCTGGAAATGGCTCCCGAGAACTAGGGTTCTCATTTCTCCCTGGGTTGTACCAATGAGGTCCAAGATGAGCAGAGAAAATTACTGCTCTTTCTATCAATTTGCAGTATTTGATTCCTCATCTGCACAGGTATGTTAGGCCTACAGGGCACAGTAAGTGCTTCCTCGTCTGCTCCCACTCTTGACCAGAATGATGGAAACATTAGTTGGAAAGAACCTCTCATGTTCAAACTCCCACTTGAAATGGGACTATCACCAGCACTAAACAAGGCAAGCCATGGTAGTGAGCTGTCTTGAAAGTCTCCAAGAATGAAGATCTTGCAACATCCATGGGTAAGTTTAATGTAACAGCAACTCTATGTCAGCAGTTACCATCTGTCAAAACCACCATGAAAGAGA